AGCGCGGAGGCCTTCGCCAAGGAGGACGAGCGCTACTTCGGCCCGCCGACACGCGACGCCAGGGCCTTCGCTGGGGGCGTCCGCGCGCAACTGCGGAGCTCGTGGCCCAAGGAGACGCTCCCAGATAACGAGGCGCGCGTGCTGCAGTGGGAGGCGACTTACGAGTCGGAGGCCACGGGGCGGCGCGAGCGGAAGGCGCGCTTCCAGGCGAACGGAGAGGCCGACCTGACCGCGCCGACCCGCCAAGGCAAAGGCGTGAAGCCGCCGAGGCTGGTCGTACGCCGCAGTGCCGCCGGCCGCGAATACGTCGCGAGCGTGCGCGACGCGAGCTGGCCGCAGCAGTGGCCGGCGGCGCCATGGGGGCGGAGCGGGCGGGCGGGCGGGCGCTGTCTGCCGCCTGAGGGCGCGGCGCAGCTGCCGACGTCTCTACCGGCGCCGCTCGAGGAGGTAACGCCGCTCGAGGAGGAGTACCGTACCGGGCAGGCGTTCTGCAAGCCGCCGCAGGAGCTGGAAACAGAGCGCCTGCGACGCCTGCTCACCGAGATCGGCGCGATCGCGGCGCGGCGCAGCGGGGGCGAGCCGCTCGTGCCGGGCCAGGAGCGCAAGCTCGCGAGGGAGCCGGAGCTGCGAGCCGAGCTCGAGCGTCGCGGGCAATGGGAGCTGCCACCGCAGCCGACCCCCACCGCTCCGCCGCAGCAGCTGCTTCTACCCGGCTCGCCGTCGCCGCCGCCGACCCTGCGGGCGCACCCTATGTCAATATCCCCCGCAACCAGGGTGAGCCAGCAGGAGGAGGACTCGGGAGCACGGGCACGCAGCGCAGACCTGTCTGCCCAGGCACGGGTGCCGCGTGACGAGGCGGCCGAGTCGCTGCCTGCGAGGCCGCAGAAGCCCTCGCCGCATCCGCCCTCGCCGCGAGCGAACCCTATGTCAAAATCCTTCGCGACCAGGGTGAGCCAGCAGGAGGAGGACCCAGGAGCACGGGCACGCAGCGCAAGCCTGTCTGCCCAGGGACGGGTGCCGCGTGACGAGGCGGCCGAGTCGCTGCCAGCGAGGCCGCAGAAGCCCTCGCCGCACTCGCCCTCGAGCGGCGTGGGCGGGCGCGGCTCGACCAAGCGAGACGACCCGCCAGAGCCCACCACGCTAGCGACGCCTCCTCCTCCCTCCGCTCGCTCTTCCACTTCAGGGCCGGCGGCGCTCAACAACGCAGTGCGCGCCGGAACCAGCCTAAGTCGGACGCGCCGGCACGCGCTGGGAGCGCGCGTGCAAGCAGGCGCGCCTTCCCGTCAAGATGGGCGGCATGGGCCTCACTAGCGCCGTCGACATCCGCGAGCCGGCGTGGATTGGCACGTGGGCGCTCGTCGCCGGGCCCATGCGCCACCTGCATGCTCCTTTCCGCGACCTCGACGTGAGCAAGGCGCCGGGCTCCGATTTCGACGAGCTGCGGGCGGCGCATGACAGGCTCAAGAAGGAGCACGGCGAGATCGCGGCGACGTGGAAGGAGTGGGACGGCAAGACGAAGGCGGAGTACTTTGACCTGGTTGGCGGTACGACAGGCAGGCCCCCGGAAGTCGAGGTGGAGCCGTGGGACGAGCCCGACGAGGGCGAGAAGCTGCGCGCCTCCGCGCGGCCGCCGGAGCCGGCTGAGAGGAAGGCGCTCTCGCGCTTCCGGCCGCATACTCTCGTCGAGGCCAAGGAGCTGCTGCCCCTCGCCGAGTTCACGTCCAAGCACGAGTTCCTACACCAGGCGCAGCGGCGCTTCACGACGGTGGTCCACAACAGGAACTGGCGCGACCTCGCCCTCGAGCTAAGGCAGGAGGGCTCCGCGGGATCGCGGTCTGCTCCTCGCGGCAAGAAGGGCAAGGCGCAGGCCAAGGGCAGGGAGTGGGCGCAGCATGCGGCTTGGCGGGAGGCAGTCCGCTTCGTGGCGGTGAGCCAGGATGGCGCCGGCGCCTTCCTCAACGCCATCCCCATGCGGGATGATATGCGAATGGAGACTTGGGCGATGCGTCTTACGGTGCAGCGCCGCCTGGGTCTCCCCCTCGACAGTCGTCGAGCGTTAATA